TTAGTGTGGGGAAAAAAATTTTTTTTTTTAGTTGTTAAATATTGAATTATTATGAATTTATTAGCTCTACTTCAAAATGCGATTAAAAACATTTTTTGGCGGTATAGGATTCAATCGTTGTTCTTCTCATTAATGTTCTCTATGAGCAAAATGTTCTGATTTCTTTAACGTTTTTGAGATTCGGGTAGGTAGTGTTGGAAAAAAAGCTGTCCCTGAAAAACTTTATTACATCTTTTTTTTTGTTGTTTCAATTTGGTCCTCTGTGTGAAAGTTTACAATTTAATGTATTTCAATTACTTTAAAAACTATGATTATTTAGAATTAAGTGTTACAATGCCCTAAATTAAATTAAATAGTAAAGACGTTATTATTTTTTTTTTTAATTTTATGTTTTATTCATATTTTGCGCTTTATGAACGAGTTATTAATTTGTAACGCTAACAGTAACTATCGAGAATTCTTGAGCTTGCTTGATAATATTTGAGACAATAAAACTAATTACGTTATAAACGTTATTTTTTATTTTTTTTTTAAAAATTAGTCGATAGATTTTAAATTCTTCTTTCAAGACACAACAGCCTATTACAGGCCAATGCCGTCCCGTATTTTAATTTCCGAAAAATAATTAAAAATAGTTTTTACAATGTCTCATAATGATTAAAATAAAAATCGGTGTAAATTATTTACTAAAACCTTAAAGTTCACTTTTATTGTACAGCAAAATTCGAGATTTTAATGATAATGCGTCAAACTCAGACCTGCGGCCATTAAGTTCTCTCCTCATAGTAAAAGGTGAAAAATTTCTGCACCCTATGATATGAGTAAATGAAAGGGAGAAACTTTTATATTATTTCGACTTATAGTGTATTTCGACTAGTGGCTAAAAGTGGATTTTGACTTGAAGATTTTTACGTTAAGTCGAGAAAAAGCAATCACGACACAATAGGATTAAGTTGTAAGGGTTTCATGCATAGAAAGTGCAATCAGTATTTAAGCATCTTAATTTGCTATTTAAGCAAAGTAAGCATCTTTTGTGTATTTCTTTACTCTGAAATGAATGAGATCAAGTACTTGACGATGGGACTAATAAGTTGAAAGGATTTTTATGCATGTAAAATACTATTCTTTATTTGAACATGTGCACACTTTTGATATTGCAATCTTGTAACTGTCTAGACAAGTGAGGTCTATGTAGCTAGTATATTTTTTAAGTGGAATCGAAAGAAACCAAGTACGAAAGAATGGGGTCCCGCAGTGGACTGATCGTTAAGGCACGGTTCCCAGCAGATCACCGAAGTCAAGCATCATTGGCTGCGGTCAGTGTGCGGGTGGGTGACCACTTGGATCAGTCTGTGTAGGGACCGAGGGTGTGCGGTATTGGTTCTCGTTAAACTGTGCTCGTTAAAGTGCTCGACTTCGCGTGCAGGTCGTCGGGCTACCAAAGCGGGGGTGCCATCCCCTCCGCAGAGGATAAAAATTGTGATGGCATGTCTTCGGATCATCCTCCGGGATGTTTCCCAGACCGTCGGCAATAGCCCTGTGTGCAGCTCTAGTGCGACGTAAATTAATAACAACAACGAAAGAATTGGATTAATAATTTAAAAGTTATTAGGGTTTTATGCATAAAAATACAAATTTGTAATTGAATCTACTAGCGCATTTGTATTTGTTTTGTAGAATTTGTTGTTGCCCTACAAGGCTCGTAGTCAATAAAAATGTTTCGACTTTATTTGTTCTGCTTTTTAGCTTTACGTCCTGATATAACCTATTTTTGCGGATGTTTTAAGAATTTCTAAGAATACAATGGCGGCTCTTAAAATATTCGATTTGAAAAGTAAAAAGATTTGGATTTTTGATCCAAAGTGTCTTTTTGTTTGTTTAAACTAAAAGGCTTCGTTCTTCCAATCCACGTGATAACTTCTCATTCATCGTACGGGAGAGGGGGAGGGGCAGCGACAACCATTTTGTTAATAAAATATAATTTTATGCATGCTCAGTTTGTTTGCCTGCCAATCATAGCAAAATGAAAGGAATGACTTGAAAAATAATCTACTGTATTTTAAAAGAATAAAATAAATGAATAAATAAAAAAACTTGGGAAAGGGGATGTATGACACAATAAGAAGATACAAGAAAAACCACAACGTGAATCTACTTACATCTTAAGCTTTCAGTTATAGGAATTAGTGAATGGTCATTAAAAGGATTAAATTTAGACTGGTGTTAGAAATTAAGAGGATTTGCAGACCTGGTCGATTATCTTCTGGTCTACTGGACCTATTTTAATGAAATTTGATATCTTCATACATTGATACAATACAAAACAAATAACCATTCATAAATTGTAATATACACACGCATGATCATGCCTAACACTCGTTGGAGTTGGAAGGTATGAAATTGCCACATGAAATGATAAACTGCCTTATTTCAAGTATGAAATCACGCTGTATATGTAAGATGGAACCATACCCCTTAACCCCTTCCCAAACTTATGACTTTTGTGTACCCTTTCTAAATTTGTCGTAACGCTGTGTACCACTAATACAAAATGAATGTATTTTTTGCTGTAAAAAAATTGCCCAAAAGTTAAAAATCACAACTAGCTGTTGATACCCCTAATTATTAACTGCTAACTCAGCAAAAAATAGCCAATAGAAAAATACGTAATCGTAAATTTTCATGGCTAGCTTTGGTTTTAAATAAAATTTTGTGAAATTTTCGTTTGTTGCAAGATATGTTGCATAAGAACACATACCCCCGCCGAACTGTTCCCGTACCCCTGGGGGTACGCGTACCACACTTTGGGAAACACTGTCTTAACCCATTTTCGTTTATTTTGCAACCGCTGTTGCATACATTCCGACTCCAACGAGTGTTCCGCACGATCATGCGTGTGTATTACAATTGTTGGATGGTTATTTGTTTTGTTATTTGTATTGTATCAATGTATATACATATCAAATTTCATTAAAATCGGTCCAGTAGTTCTAGAGATCATCGACCAAGTCAGCAAATTCTCTTAATTACTTACACCACTGTATTTCAAAAAGCTTCATGGCCTTTTATTAAGATACTCAGATAGTAACTGTTACTGAACCTATTATTGATATTTTTTAATGTTAATCTGAATATCTTGTGAACCTGATCCCCAGAAACTTGACAGTGAACTTCAGAGGTGCCCTTTGCCAAAGTAATTTATTTGCATTTTTACTTCCTGTTCATTCAAAATGCGGATTTTAAATTTTAGTTATTTCTCATATTTAGTCATTCATTCATTTTTATTTTTCAGAAAGTTTGATCGCAAAAATAAAAATATACAATCATGTTTACAATGATGATTATTATTTGACATGTTACACAGGCTTGACATGATTTATTTCATGATTAAAATCCCGATTTAAATCCTTTTTTTAAGAAAAAATCACTTGATTCATTTGTGAGAAATAAAATAAAAATATGGATTTAAGTTACAAATATTTTTATACAGTATAATTCGTAAAATATTCCTTTGATTGTTTTTTTTTTAAAAAGTCTGATTTTACTGATATTAAAAGTTTTTTCTAGAGAAATGATGAGATGGGATGATGATTATTATTTAATGTTCAATGTAAACTAATAAAAATAAAGAGATTTAATGAGATTAAAAATGGCGTGGAGTTTTGAAATTAAAACTTTAAACTAACTTTATGTAAGATTATTTGTTATAAAGTGCTTTTAAAATTTATTGATATTTAGTTTGGGTATATAAATGAGAAGAAAAAAAACTTTTTCTGCCAAAAATAATTCTAAGATAATTTATTGTTCTTAATGTTTCCTGATCTAAATTATGTATTCTTCATTTGATATTTAACTAATAAATTGGATCTTAGAGTATTGAGCTTGAATAAAAAAAATTTATTTAGAGATTAGTTTAATAATAATAAGTTAAACCATCGTAAAATCAAAAAATTAAATATTTTTATAATATTACATTTAAATAATACTAAGCACATTAAATTATTTTTTAAAATTGCGATTGAACCCTGATGCTATTTTATCTCTTTAATATATAATGTGTTACTTCTATATTGATTTTTTTAAACTTTTTGTAGCATACCACATTTTTCTGAAAAGGAAGTGAGAGATGCCTTACGGAAAGACATATCATCCCATTGTTGTTATAGCCAAAGGCCTGTTAGAGACATGTGCATCACTGACATTAAGCATTCCATTGCATTTCACGTAAGATTAGTTCTTACTCTTTAAAACATTAATTGCAAAAATAATTTAGCAAATTAAGTACTTTAGGGTTCTTCCTAGGAATAAAAAAGGACAGGATGCCTCCTCACAGGAAAGGGCATTTAGAGTTTTAAAAGGACACTCACTTAACACTGTAAAAATTTATTGAATGTGTAATATTATGTAAAAACTGAATTTGATCCGCAACAATTTTTAAATTACCCTCTTATAGTATTTTATGTGTGTATTTCAAAAAGTAATACTCACTCATTATCAAAATAAGAAAACAAAATTGTGGTTTGTTAAAAATAATTAAAGGCACTGCATTTTTATTAAAAAAAAATTAAATTAAAAATATGTTTAATTGATGAACGTGAAAGCTTTTTTCTGCAATTTAAACTAAAAATTATGAGACAACAAACCTTTAAAGGTGCATTTTTTTTTTAGAAAAAAAGGTATTTATTTAAAAAGTAATTCTAAAATTTAAAATCACCTAAATAATTACTAATATGCCCCTAAAATCTTCTCACGACAACACTGTTTGTGTGTGCCAATTATGAATTGTTTTTATTTATGTTTTACATGAAATATAAGATCAAAATTGTTTGAGATCTGGAGGAGTTATTCCTTTTACTTTTGATTTGCCATATAAGAAAATTTGCTCAAAAATTTTCATGCTGTGTTTTTTTTTTGGACTAAATTAGAGATACAGCTAAATTTTTCAGAAAAATAACTAGGTCCTATCCTGTATTTAATTTGATGTAAGTATTTTAAGAGGTAAAATAAAAATCCCAGTATTTATAGTTATATAATTTTTTGATGTTTTTAATTGTAAGGTGTATTCATTTAATAATTTTGCAACTTTTCTTACAAGTCATTATTATTGGGTAATTTTGCAATTTAAATATTTGCCTTAGTTTTTTTTGCATTGCTTGTAATTAAATTTTAAAAAAAACTTCACAGAATTATAATAAAATTTTTTTCTATGAAATTTTTTTTACCATCCATCCTTATATTAAATATCATTTTGCTTAAGCACGTTCTTTTATTAATAAATTTAAAACTGTATTTAATTCCTTTTTTTTGTTATGATGTCACGGTTTATCTCATGTATTTATAAATTCATAAGTATTTACTTTTTCAGTATACATTAGAAACATTTACTGAAATCAGGACAACATGTACCATATACGGGTAAGAAAAGTCAATAAATTGCATTCATGATAATGATGTCTGTACCTAAAAATTTAAAGCACTGTTGTGTGTTAAATAAAATAAGATTTTATTTCATTTACTAACTCTTCATGTAATCATTTGTGATTATTTATTTTTAATTTCTTTTTCTTTCTCAATACACTTATTTAGGCATATTTTTTATATAAAGAATGGAATAATTACTTTTAAAGTTAAAATTATTAGCTTTAATACTGTTTTTTTTATTACTACATATTTTGTTTTGGTTGTTGTATACATTAACCGACACTTATCGTAATTAGTTTTATCTGGTTTTTTTTTTAAAAAATCATCGAAGCTTTAATTAAGAAGTTGAATTAAAGCAGATTTAAGTCACACACCTATAAGTAAAATTTTATACTTTTTTTCAAATTTCATGAGTGAAAGAATATTTAAATTATTTTATAAGGAGCAGACAAACGAAATATTAATTACATGCAAGGGTAGAAGTTAAGGAAGCAGTAACCGCTCTAAATTGAAAATAACTAGTATTACTAGTTTGTGGAAATTTTTACTGGTCCATTTACATGTTTTTATTAGATTAAAAAAAAATTAATAAAATTAATTTAAATGGAAAAAGTACAATATGAAGAATGGGTGAGGTTCAAAATAATAATGAAATATGTTTTTTTTTTGTGATAAAAACTCAGACCAAAATCAAAAAACCAAAACAGTAAATCATCCCTTTTCATTAATTGCTGACCTTGATAACCATTGATAATAGTTATTTAATCGTAGGCAGAGTCAAATTTTAATAGTCCTTGACCGACAGTACACCATTGAATTTGAGTCCTGATCTATTGAGATCAGGAATTTAATGTATTAGTTAATTGTTATTTGTTCATATTTTAATTCATCATCGACCTACAATTAAATTAGCTTAATATTAAACAATTATATTTTGTTCAAGTAGCTGATGTATAACACAAATAAATATCACATATTTAAAAAAAAAAAATTAAAAAATACTTATGAAAATTTTACTTAATGTTTTTTGAAGAAGCAATGAAAATTATTTTTTCTAAACACTCTCTCTTTTTAGGTGGAACAATTGCTGGAAGTA